CAAAATTTTAATGCTTTTTTTTAGGAGTCTTGTCTGGCTGAGTTGTTACCATCTAATAACAAATGACTTATTGCTTTGATATTGATCTGAATAAGAATTCATCGAAATGATACTTCAAGCAACGCAGATCTATTGAGTATGTGATTATTCTCTCTAGAAATACACTCAGTTCAAGAATCGAACGTTTATTACTAACATACAAAAACATCAGATAAAAATTATTCTACCATTCAGAAATTCATCTAACTATATCACTTTCTGTAAAAGTAATATATACATATAAAGTTTGTTTCATACACGCGGAGTATTTTGATTTTAAATTGATTATACTCAATCGATCGAATATGTATTATTAGAAAACATAATTATGTATATTTATCGAATTGTTTTATTAGAATGAGAAAATATAAAATCGCACACTAATTGTAAGTCATTTTTATCCTTATGTTTTTATGACGTTTAAACGTAACTTTTTTTTACATGAGTAAAATAAAAATATAATGAAAAAAGTGAAAAACAAAGTCGATAAAATTGCTTCAATAATTTTACTAATAACATATCCTCTTAATAATGTTATCAATTGAGTGGAATAAATTTGAATCATAACTTAGATGTTACATTTAAACATATATCTTCTATGTTTATTCTATTTTGTATATTCGCAAAAATGTAGAAAAATCTAAGTGTGCCTCCGACACTTATGAAACTATATTAGAATCGAAAAGATACATCAATCCTCGCTAGGAACTGTTCATGTGCATTAGGCTATAAATCAAACTTTATCATAGTATAAATAGTATTGACTAAAGTAAGATCACGACTCTAAACTTGTTTATAGACTTTCCATCAAAATTAAGTAAATGTTCGCTAATTATTTAATTTTGTGAAATTCTAAACGAATGAGTATAAACGTATATTGCCAACCGATAATTTTTCTTACAGTTAGTATTCTCTAAAAAAAAAAAGTAATACTTCTTGAATATATCCGGTCGGCGCATAAGTTCTGCACGTTTGGATCAGTAGAATTATATCGCCAATATAAAACTACATTTTAAGGAAAGTAATTTTATATTCTAATAGCGCTCGGAATTCTCTATCACCCTATATATTTAAGTCTTGACTTGCATTTATTTGCTGAAAAATATTTCGAGTACACCGAAGACACTCTCACCCGTATTGACAATGTTCGAAACATTTCTCAGAAAATAAGTTCAAGCCAACACTGAATATACAGGATGATAGAGCATTTCAAGAGCTCTCAGAATATACAATTACTTTTCTAAAAAAATGGATTACTGTATAGATAAAAATTTTAAAAACATATGAAAAAGGAACAAAAAATGAAGTTCGTGGAAATCTGCGGGTGAAGGTGTCTTCAGTGTACTCGAAATATTTTTCAGCAAATGAATGCAAGTCAAGACTTAAATATATAGACTGATAGAGAATTCCGAGCGCTATTAGAATACATAATTACTTTCCTTAAAATATAGTTTTATATTGGCGATATAATTCTACTGATCCAAACGTGCAGAACTTATGCGCCAACCGGATAGATTTTTTTTATATTCATTTATCTCAGAGAATGTACTATTTTCAGTCTGATAAATGAATTATTTTAATTTTCATAGCAATAATGCTTCTCTCTTCTATTCTTGTTTTCGATTATTATGATTGCATTATTATGCAGGTTGTATATTTTAATCTATCAAGTTATTTCTAGGCAATCAACTAAACTCATTTGTATAGCCAATCGCTATCACAATAGACTAATCTCATTTCTTATTAGTTATATGTTAGAGATATTCACACAAACTGCAGAGGCTTAAGACTTCTCTGTATCTTCAATGATGTACCTTATGATTAAGACATAATATTAGTCGTAAGAATTTGAATTCTAAATATATTCTTGGATAAAATCTCAAATAGAAACATTTAAAAATTAGGTAACACTCGCTTCCCGTCTTTGCTCGAAGTACTTGAAAATTCTTGAAATTTTTTCTAACTCAAGATGCAAGAGATCTTTGTAGAGCTTGTCGATATCAACTGGATTCTTTTTGGAATAGAAGGCAACATTATAGATACGCTGTTTCATTTCAACTGCCTATATCGGTTTATGAGCACACAAAGAAATAAAAAGTAAAAGAGGAGAGTCAATTACAGTTTAATCAATGACAACCTGACTAGACAGTAAATACTCATCGATGAAAAAGTCCAATTTCACAGATTTCATTCATTGAGACTTAATTCTGTTGAACTTTATGCTTTCCATACTAGACCTGCGGTATACGACTCCAGTAGTATCGATATTCATCTCTATTAATTATAGAAAGTTATCAAAACATGACATCATTTTTTTTTCTCTATTAGAGATATGTAGAGTAGATTGAAGCTCGCCTATTCTTTTTCATGATCGACTTATTTTCAAGTTTGATCAGATTAGAAATTTACATTTCTTCTGTGAATAAATGAATGTTCACGGAAATTTTCTCTTGTCCTACTTACTGTATTGACTGAAGCTTTCTCAAATAGAATGAAGAATGTCTGCGGAAAATATTCTGTGTCAATCACTATCTAATATATCATTTAAATAGCTATTAATTTACCTGAATTCGTCATTGGGTGGCCTGGAGCAATTGTTCTCGAAAGATAAATAGCTAACGGAAGGCTTAATAGAATTAGAATACTACTGATAAGTAGAATCCATTCACGAGTGTTCAATTGTCGTTTGAATATCCAATAAGTCCATCCAAGTTTGTGAATGTACTCATTCGTTCCGTTTTGTTCAGATAGTAATAAACTCGATGCTCTGTTTTCGAGGCTTAGATCTGCACACGAAGTCGAACGATCTACAGTTAAATTCGGATCAGATGGAATACGCATGATCCCTGAAAGAAAATTTCTAATCATAAATAAAGTAAAGTCTCCTATTAATACGAACTAGGCGAAGGCATCTTATCCTCATCGTCATTGTCGAATAAAAGAATATCTTGAAGTGAACAACTTCGTTGACTAAAATGTTCCAATGCTAGCTGATATTCTGAAAAAAAACAAACATAATTAGTAAAAAGCTTGTTAAATGTAAGTCTTGATAAGAAATAGAAGAAACGAACCTTGAAGTCGTTTTGCAGCATCATTACAATGTATTTTCTTGAATACTTTAATAAGATAATCACAATCTTGATCGCTGATTATTGCCTTTTCCAAAAGAGATTCCAGTACACGAAGCGTTCCACTAAGTGAAGGATCATCACGCAAATATCTGGGAACATCTTCGCCAAGAAGAAAAAGAAAACGATGTCGATCATTGTCAGATAGAAGATCCTGTATTTTGAGCAACAATGCTCGAAAATCAAATTCTCCACTCATTTGATAAAGAAAAAATCACTATCTATAAAATAGTAATAGAATATCAGTTAATATACATTGTCATTGAGACCGATTAATCAGCTATGTCTACAATGTGTATAACTTGCATAAGACGATGTCACGTAATGTAGAAAAGAAAAATAAGAGAGAAATGGATAATATGCGACTTTTTTTCTTCTCGTCTCGTAAAAGAAACAATACACAAAATGGGTAACATATTCCAGAGAAAATAAAAAATAGCGAATAATGAGAATATGATTAGTAAGATTGTTTAAACTCAACACTCGTTATATACTAAGTGTCTGTACTTTGTCGATTCTTTATATTCATGAATCTTTACGTTGACACGTTCCGGTGAACTTATATCTGTTCAAAGGTACTTTATCTCGTTTTTTTTTAATCAAAGAGTCGATTTTGAGCTGCTCAATTACAATTAGAAGTTCACTGAGACATTTGCCTTTTCTTTTCTTCTATTTTGAATTTTCTTTCAGTCGTAGATATCACAAAGAGCAAAATCTATCGAGACCGAACCGATAAATGTTACATGAATGAGAGAAAGAAAAACAAATCGTCACAGAACGAAAGAATAATACTATACTACTCTGATTATTCTAACAGTTTCTTGTCTATGACACAGAAATGACCCATTTTCTTATCGGTCAGAATACGACAAAGGGAAATTTCACACAAAAAAGAAACAACAGTCTTAGAAAAAAATCTCTCGACGTCTGACAACTAGAATGTAGGGAAAAATCCCACTGATATGAGTTAAGGTGTATGTCATTACTTGACATATCGAAAACAGCCGGATCAATTCTATACACATAAAAATTATGGAACAATCGAGTAATGATTTCCTAATGAAAAATAAAATGCAAAGAGTTGACATATGAAACGATGTCAAAAACGCTACATAATTAACCAGATAGAAAATATCAAAAGAGAAATTTTTGATAATATAAAAAAAAGGATATTAGTTTTAATGTTTTTCATTTTCATTCGTAACATTTTTTTTTAATCATAAAATTTCTACGTCTAAAAATCTGCATCTGATTTATATTATTAATAGAAATGATATTTGTGATTAACTTCATTAAATGAAAAGATATAAAAATATTTGTACACATTAATATAGAACGCCCTCTTTTCTGTTGTAGAAATTCAATGTCATTTGAATTATTTCTCTATTTTGTAGAACTATTAGAAATCAACCAATTAAATGATATCAATAAAAACAAATTGTTTGAAGAAGAAGAAATATCGGATTAAATTATGAATGTATAATAGACGACGCTTTTTGAAAATTGATTATCATCATATAATTTGATTGTTCTACTTAATTAGATAGATGTGAAAAAAAATTTTCATTGAATGAGAATACATTTTACGAGTTAGGATTGTGTGTCAAGTAAATAAGTACAGAGTTTTATCTTCTATAATAATCTTTTAAGAATTTAGAAAAACTTTATAAATTAATTTGAAAATATTTTTTTGTCTTCTAGAATATATTTATTTCACTATCATCAATAAAGTTAAATTGAATAATGAATAAACTCATCAAGGTTAAACATTATAAAAAAGTTTTTGATCTTATCATTCAACGATCAACATTATGTAAATATATTATTTACAATATGACATTAAAATCATGTATTCATTTATATAATTACCAATATAATATCAAAACTCAAGGACAAATTTTATCAAATTCACTTAAAAATTCTTTTATTCAAACATCATTTATTCATTTCTATAGTAAGTTAAGAATAAAGATAATAAAAAACTTATCAATTAGTGCAATAGAACAACACTGAAAATATATTTACTTATAACTACTGATAAATTTTTAGCAAAGTCCTGCAGAATAGGGTAAAGATGGTACAAAAAATGGTTCAGGTGGAATTAGGGTATTGTTCATATTACTGAGATTTTTTTGGCAAGTAGCTTCGAATACACTTATAACATCTATCAGGCTCAAAAAAAAAACTATCCATGTAACTGTTATGGAAATAATGCAGTAGATGAGGAAATCTCCATTCAGATTCGACTCAGCCGAATCGAATCGAATTATTCGCTTATTCAATTTGGTTTCGATCTCTGAAATGCAACCTATTACATGGATTTTAATGCATGAAATAGGTTGCATTGTCATATAATTGCGCCATTATTCAGCTACATGAGCATCCAGAAGACAGAGTTGGCACGCCGATAGGATTTTTTCCTTACCAATACAGGCCTAAACCGTCAGCCCAGACCGATCGGTATATCGGCATAAGTTATTCATCTTTTTTTGGCTCTATAAAAGTACAAAATACAAAAAAATCTATCAAAAACTACAACATAAAAAAATTATTCAGTTTTTTGTAATAACATGATGTCATATCAAATTTAGTTAAGGAAATATAATAAGGATGCCATGACGAATTTAGATTTAAGACAATAGTCTGATACATATTCCATCACCGATATAGTCTTCAATATCAATAAAAAATTTGTGATTTGTGAAAAAAATCACTCATATGTTCAATTTTTCGATAAAAACCCATGCAAAAACTATGAAAAAATCTAGACCGGCCGGTAAAAACCAAGTTATCTCTACCAGCCGATAAGAAATCCTCTATCTAATCGGCCGTTTACCGTTACCAGTTGCAACTCTAGATGATGAATCTTAAGATCCGAAAACTCTATTATGATTATCATTATGTATTTTATTATATGATATTGATATACATTTCATTAGTTATAAATAGTAGACATAAAACTGCACTTATTTCATAATTCTTAAAAGAAAAAAACTACCTATTCATATCTGCCAAAACTTAATACGTATTTTTTTTTTAAAGAAAAAGATCGAGAATTTCTCTTTTTTTTGTGTATCTTTATGTTATTCATTAAAAGTTCTTGAAATCTTTTTAAAAAATCTTAGACAGTAAAATTAATAATCATCATTCGAATTTGTAAATTTTCTTAAGAAAAACATTTAATATTATTCAATAACATTTAATCATTTTATTTTATTTTTTATATAGATCGATATAATCATAATAAATACAATCATCATCTATTTTCTATAATTGTTAATAAAACAATTACTATATATTCAAATATATGCATAGGTTATTATTGATTTTACTTTCGAATTCTTAAATATATTATTTTAATTATTAGGTTTAATATCAAAGAAAATATTCGATTCATTAAATAAAATCATATTTGCACCTTATAATTATTTACATGTTAAACTTTCATTTTCTTCTATATTCAATTTGTATTTTCATGTGAATCTTTTCAATCATATTCGATTCAGTTTATTATATTGATTTAATTTATTTTATTATAATTTAGATTGATTATTTAAATGATTTGTTAATATTTGATGAAACAGAAAAAATGATTAATGATTATGAAAAATCAAATTTTTCTTGTTCAGTTATTGATAGTAAGTATTAATTATATATTTTTTTTTATTGATCTCTCGTTTATCATATAATTTTTTTAGTGACTATGTTATCAGATATATATGTTGATCAACATTTAATTTTAACATAAAAATTAGATAATACAATGAAACATCTTTTCTTTAAAATGTATTCATCTTCTAGTAAACATGAACAAAACAATACGATTCATTCAAATAAAAAAAAAGAATTAGAAAATAAAATTAAACAAGAAAAGTCAATTACTAATGTAAATGGTCAATTATGGGTAAAAATATTTCTATGAAATTTTAAAAATATACGAAGAAAAATTTCTAATTTATTTTTTAATAGGAATTTACAGTTGATGATCGGTCTCATCCTCGATTTGAAGAAATTAATGCTGAACTTGATCGTATAGCAATTGAACTTGTTAAACATGGTCATAATCTTGATTCAGCTTGGATAACTCCGAAAGTACGAGAAGCTACACTTCGTGCATCCGCTTCATATTATCGTAGTGGAAGGCTTGCATTAGCTTTTAATTTGATTCAAAGATCTGTTCCATTTTTTATTCAAATTACTAATGATATTCGTACTTGTCAGGATTGTCGTAAGTTATTTCTAGTTTGTTTTTAGTTAATAATGTTTTTTTTTGTCTTCAGATGAATTCATGAAACCAGTAGTTAAACTTGGACAGTGTAAAATAACTATTTGTAATTCTAATCGTATTCATCGATTTTACAAAAATGATGAATGTTCTTGCAAAGATTATTTTTGACATTTTCGTTTTTGTTTTGTTGTGTGTGTGTGTTTATTCTATTACTTGAATAGAGAATTCATTGCTGATATATATATATAATCCAAAAAGAAGCGAACTCATTTTTTTTGCTCTTGATTTCTTATGAAATAAAAAAATCAGTCTCAATCTGAATTTGCTGAAGATTCAAGTGGCATAGTTCTATTTTTTCCGTATTAAAAGCTGAATGTCTTACAAGAAATTATGTGATAAACTTTCAAAAAGTTCTTTAGAATGAGGATGAGATAATTAATTTTTTGATAAGAATTACAAATATTTTAATAAAAGTGAAATAAAACTTCATAATTTTCAATTTCAACGATTATTTCTACATTGTCGTCAAGAGAAGAACGTCGAACTCTATCCAAGGGATTGAAGTTCACCATTTTTTGTCTTGTGTTTTCTACTATTATTTCATTTTATCTTATGTGACTCAATAGATATTCTTTAACATGATAACGATCAAACAAGTCGCATTACTCTTTTGTTTGTGCCTATTTTTATTTTTCTATATTAAATTACGCTTAATAAGGAATATCAGTCGTCAAACAGATGAAAAAAAATACGCCCATCTAAAACATTTATTCTTTTTTTCTAAAAAAAACTGATTTAATTACATGAATAAAGAGAAAAAGAGAATTTATCAAATATAAAATAGATAAATCAAATGACATATGTTCATTTAATATTCATACATCAATATTGACACATCAAACAAAAGTAATAAAAAAAATCTACTTGACTATACATTGTGTAATAAAATCAGAATCGGTCAATATGACAATTTATTATTTGAATTCTAGTGCTGAATCAGAAGTTTCTAATAATGTTGAATGTTGATTTTTCTTTTCTGATGTTGTTGGTATTTTCATTATCATTGTCGACAAAGAAATCATGCAAAAACAATTTCAACAAAAAGTTAATATTCATTGTGAAGATCTGATTGAAAAAAAATCTAATTCTCTTTTTTTTTTAATTTGTAAATAAATTCATTTTTGAAATAAAAAGTAATTTATATGTACAATCTAAAAGATCTAATTTGAAACATCTACGAATTTCATTTTCTTTACTGAGAAATTTGAATTTCTTGAAATGAAAAAGTAATGTAAGTTACTGATTTACATTGAGATAATGTTGACATTAGTTTTAATTAATAAATTAAGATAAAGAAAAATATTCATACTCATTGTGATTGGAGAAAATTTTTCTAATGAAAAAAATTAATTTTTTTTGTTCAAAATAAACATTTGCACAAACGAGAGATCGTGATACAATCAACAATTAAGATAAATTCATATTGATCACGTTCGACTATATTTATAAATATATTAAATATCTCATGAATTATTTTTATTTTTCTCATAGCTGATTACTGTTTCAGTTTTGACAAATAAAACAATGAAAATTGTCAAGCGTTTGTTATGGATTTGATTACAATTCTCAATAATCAAATTTGAAGAATAAGGATAAAATCTGTTATACTCTTAATTATGCAGTCCTTTTTTTTCACACTAAAGTTTGGTTTTTCTTCTTCTATTTTTTTTTGTATTATTCGTATAACTTAAACGTAAGTAAAGTTAGCAGCAAATTCGAGTTGTTTGGAGAAATATTCACAAACAGACTTGTGCCAAAAATGATATTGGTTGTGCCAGATAGAGCATCAAATATGCTATCGAATACATAGCTTTCAAAAAATATCCGTCATGAGAGATAGTTGAAAAATTCGAAAAACTGCTTTTAGAACACTGATTTTAGTGAAAAAAATCAGTATTTCGGCTTAATATTTGTTCCAAGATGTGTCATCTGAGAAAGTACTTGTGCCAGATAGAACTCGATGAGATCTATCTGACACAATCGATTTTAACACTAGTACACGTTCAGAGCTACACCCACACCCCCACCCAGCCCACAATGATTGGTTTAGCAATTACTGATTTGTTACGAATGAAAATTATTGAGCAAGTGAAGAACATGCGCTTCTCTTGATCTTTAACATTTTCATCCGATTATGAAAGCATATCTACCATGATTTGTCGTTTATCTCACCCAATTAGAAATCCTGCATTATTCTTCTCATGGATGATTTAGTATCGCATTACACTCTCTATCCATACTATCGTTCTTTTTTCATGATGCTATGTTATTCACGTACGTGTTATCTTTTATTATCAATATTGACTCATCTGCTTTATGACTTCTCATATTTTTTGCCATGTCTATAAATACAAGAGACATAGAGACAAATGCGTAGGTTTTTTTTTCAAAATGCTCTGCATCAAACGAGATCCAAAATTTGACGCTCGACAATCAAAACGAGAAGAGTACGTGCCACTGAAACAAGTAAGTGTCGAAGCTAATATTCGATCATTCGCTGCCGATGTCGTTATCAAGCAAGTCTTTCGCAACGATGAAACAATACCGATCGAAGCCGTGTATTGTTTTCCAATCGAAGAACAAGCAGCTGTCTACGCTTTTGTTGCTCGCATTGATGATCGAGAAATTGTTGCTGAATTGAAAGAGAAGAAAGAAGCCCAGAAAGAATACAGCGATGCTCTTCGACAAGGTCATGGTGCCTATTTGCTTGAACAAGATGAAAAATCGCAAGACAATTTTGTCATTAACGTAGGTGCATTACCACCGGGCAAAGAATGTCACATTTCTATTTCGTACGTCTCCGAATTGGATCTCGTGCAAAATGGAAGCAAAATTCGCTTTGTTGTCCCGACAACCATTGCACCTCGCTACAATCCAAACAAAGGTGGTATCGATTCACCAGCTGGTACGACATCGAAATATGTTCAAACAAGTCCATACACAATCGAATTTCGTTGTCAAATAGACAAAATTGGTATTTCACGTGTCAGCTCGTCATCGCATCCAATTCAGGTCGATGTCAGTAAACAAGATACCTATGTTATCGAATTTGCCCAACAAAATACTCATTTGGATCGAGATATTCTTGTCGATATTGAGTTAGTTGAAAATCGTTCAAATACCATGGTCGCTGTTGAGTCCGGTGCTGTAATGGCTTGGTTTACGCCTAATGAAGAAGATTGTCAACGTGCAATGAACAGTGCAGAAACAACTAATGAATTTATTTTCGTTGTCGATTGCAGTGGTTCGATGCAAGATGAGAACAAGATTGGATTGGCTCGTCAAGCGATGTTACTCTTTCTCAAGAGTCTTCCAGTCGATTGCCATTTCAATATTATTCGGTTTGGGTCAAGTTATCAGACACTATTTTCAGATATAACTGCTGTATACAACGAAGAAAATGCGCGAAAGGCCGAACAATTAACTAATCAGATGAAAGCAGATTTAGGTGGTACCGGGCTGGTAAGTTTTATCGTAATATATTGATTGTATCTGCGATAATCAATTATTTCTGTTATAGTTACGTCCTCTTCAATGGCTTGAAGAACATCCGCCGAGACAAGGTCGTGCTCGACAGATCTTTCTTTTAACCGACGGAGAGATTTCCAATGTCGATGAAGTACTCGATCTGTGTCGTTCGATGGCTACTTCAGCTCGAATATTTTCCTTTGGTTTGGGTCATTCGCCAAGTCGTTCATTAGTCAAAGGCCTTGCACGAGCAACAAACGGCCGTTTTGTTTTCATTCCACCCAACAGCAGTGTCGATATTCATGTCGGTGAACAATTACAAAAAGCTTTACAAACCTGTATAACTAATGTACAAATCAAATGGAATTTGGGTACATCAGTGATGAGCGCCCCAACAAAAACGCCACCGATTTATGCCAATGATCGTCTCATTGTCTATGCACTTGCTAGTGATCAAATGTCGACATTTGATCACAATTCAAGTGTCGAACTGTATACAGATAAACAGCGATTAGGTGAAGCAAAAATCGATCGTGTGCCGAACGTGAGTGTCAATGGTACAATTTCTCGACTCGCTGCGAAAGCACTCATTCTCGAATTACAACATTCCAAACTTCCTTCAAAAAAGATTACTGGTTCGTTGCAAACTCGATTTGCAGAACATAATCAATTGTCGACAACGACAACAACTAACTCGAAAGAAGAGACCACGAAGCGAATAATCGAATTATCGCTTAAGTATAAGATCCTCAGTCCGCATACAGCTTTTGTTGGTGTTGAAAAACGAGTGAATGCAAATAATGCCGAAATGGTGTTGCGCGAAGTGCCCATTCAAATATCGACTGATGATCAACACTTAGAAGCATCCAATTTCATGAATTTTAATGCTTCATCAATGTCGGTGCCTCGCGCAGCATCATCTTCGATTATGCCGATGGTATGCAATGAGGATGCGGTATCTACAAATAGTTCCTCATGTTTTAGTGATTACGGAATTAGAACTGAATCGGGATCGTCGCGAAGCACGCAAGTCCAATTTCGACGAGTTATGGATGCCGAAGCCCACGACGATTTAAAATATAAATGTCAATCATTTGCTTCTACCCATGCGATTAAAGGCAGCACATATTCAGATAAGAACAATCCAAAGTATATCGAACAGAAAGAAAAGAAAGAGACATGGCCTGTAGGTGATGAAAACATAGTTCGTTATTTGATCAACAAACAAAAATTTGATGGTCTATGGGATTTGGATGCAGAAAATATCAAACAATTGACTGGCAAATCTCTAGAGAATTTTTCACCATCTAATAATCGTCAAGTTCTTATCTCGGCAATTGTTGTTATTGCACTTGAAACTCGTTTCGCTGCATTGTCAACGATGTGGCACGGTATAGTGCAAAAAGCACGCAAACGTCTTCTCGATTTGCTCGGTAAAGATGCCAAACAACTTGAATCATTACTCGAGAACATTCGCAAACAATTTTAAAAGTCGAACATACAACAGTTTCTATATGAACATTGTCTTATTTCACTATTTATCTTCATAGTTAGAATTCTAATAAAGAATATTTGCGCAAACAATTCTATGATGCGTTCGTTGGTAGAAGATTTAGAGACGGTCCAAAAGTTTGGGGTGT